GCAGCAGGCGGGTACGGGAGATCCTCACTGTGGGCACAGCACCCCACGCTGGCAGGGTAATGCACTGCGAGCATCGACAGCAGCTGGCAGCAGGTGGGTACGGGAGATCCTCTCCTCGGCAGCTCCGTTTGTTTTGGTGGTAAACCTACACCAGGACAGACGCCCTGTGCTAAAATTACATTTCCGCTTCAAGGAGATGCTGCCGTGTGCTGAATATGTCATTGTCCACAGAACATTCTGGTAAACCTCCTTACCTGACCCTGGGACTCTCTCTCTCTTGCACTCCTTCCTTGCTTCTCTTTCTCTGGGGCTGAATGAATAAACCATTGTGAGTGCGTGGTGGGACCGCCAGGGGCCCCCCCGCCAGCGAGCGCAAGCTCCGACGCGCCAACGTGGACCGCGAACGTTCACCATGAGCCCAACAGCGATCAGCCGCTTTACGATCCTGGAGGGGAACTGAACAGTCATCTGTAGGTGGCAGTAAGAGTGACTGGCATCATAACCAAAGCCGGTGGTGAGGGGAGGGGGGGAATGGGACAAAGCTCTGATAAGGATCCGAAAACACACCTGGACACAGAGTCCCCCAATAATGTGACACCGTGCATGAAGAACCACAAGCAGAACCCAGCAGCATGTGGTGCCAGCACCTTGATCACAGGCCCTTAGGAAGAAATGTCCTCCTCCGATATCAAAGGCACGAACCCTGGATAACCCAATCCGGCTTCTCCACGGGAGAAGGAGGAGCCTAACTTCCCTTTGAAATCCCGGGTGCTCATTGCTTAGAGGTGGAATGGAAATGTCTGCCTGATCTGGCAGGAAAACACTTGGAGGTGCAGCTCTTGGACGACACTTAAATTCCACTGCATGCTGTCATAAACAGGTAAGAGCAGCGCTATTTTTCAGGCGGAGCATGTGCTTCACCCTGGTGTCCAGTCAGTCGCCCCAGGTATCGCTGCTAATCAGCGTAAACCGGGCAGCTCACCATCCGAACGGCCACACATCTAGAGAGCAGGCGAAGCCTGGGGGGCTGCGGTAAAGGAGAGTGGGGTCACACTGGGGTCACAGCCGCACCGGGCCCTTTCCCCACTATCCGATTTGCTGTGGCCTCCTAACACAGATGGGCTGTTCTGCCTCTCCAGACCTTAGACGCAGCGTGAGGTATCGCAGACCAGATGCAACATGTGAGAGGACATCCCTCTCGACTAAAACGGTGATTCATAAAAACTCCTCAGGTCCCGTCTTCTGTATGATTGGAGATATGAATTAGATTAGCGCTCCTCCATCTGAATGGAAAGACAGCTGGGGTGACGCTAATGATGATACCTTTGGACAGACGTCCGTCGATTCCGCTCTAATTTCCTTTCCGTGGATGAAGCAGAGAGACTCCGGCTACCTGGGGCTGCACAGATGCCACGGTGGACACTGAAGGAATGCAGATTGTAAATCTGCCCCTGGGTACTTCTCTGCCATGACCACCCCCCACCCCACCCCCCACCCCACCCCGCCTTTTCCTAATTCCCTGCATTCTTTCACAGCACACTGAGAGCCTCTCTCACCTTTCTGTTCTCTCCCTTTCCTTCTGCTGCTTATCACCCTCCTCAGGACATCTGTAAGGTGACAAAGTGCTTCAGCCGTCAGCCTGACATGCGCACGTCTCTCCCCCCCCCCCCCCCAGTTAGGGGCATAAATATTTTCACATTGCGAAACACGCACACACCTGCGCAAACGCACAGACACGCGGAAACGGCACCACCGACAATGTCATGCGACTCTGGAAACCGATTCACAGGGACGATTAACTTCTGGCAGATGGGTCCTTCAGCAAACAGCAGCCCAGGATCCTGGATCTCAGGCTTCCACAGTTTGTTGTTTCATTCTGTCTGCAAAGTGTAAAACTTCACAGAGAGCTACTGAAGGTAGGGGGGGTGCCTTTGGAGAATTTCCCAAAGCAGCTGTTACCAAGGGGTGTCACAGGGGCATGGATACCCTGGCAGATTTGGGGAGCACAGCACTTTTTAAGCACTTTTTTAAAGCCCAGTTGGCAAAATGAGAAACCACCATATGGGGGCCAATTTGACATTTTTTTCAGGTGGGGCCATGATTTCTAACTACATCCCAGCTCTTACCCCTCATCAGAAAAAAAGGCCTCAGCATCCCTGATGCTGCCCTGTGTGTGACAATAAGTATGTCAATGGAAATACCATCAGGCACAATAAATTTGCCTGGCCCACATACACGGATCCATCAGCCCACCAGGAAAATGCCTGGAATGCCAGGTGGCCAACCGGCTCTTGTAGGGTGACAAAGGTCGACTAAGAAAAAAATAAGCACTTTCACACATAATAAAAGTTTCAAATACAGCTAAGTCACACATAAGGAAGAATCACTGCTTGATAACTAATAATCTTAAATAAAGTAACGGCTCCATTGTATTTTGCAGACAGCGTTTCTGCACTCCTGCTCTCAGATATCCCGGGACATTTACACGCAAAGCTTCACGAAATGCGGTCATTCCTATACCGAGCTGTCATCCTTACTCAGTGTTCCACCCGATAACGCATCGGTAACCGCATTAACGCATTACTTTTCAACCGAACTGTTTTCTGCATGCTTACCAACCCTCGATGATTTATTTCACTACGAACAAGACTATATAAATCAACTTAATTACAGAACAGTGGTCATGTCTGTGTGTTTTAAATCTCATCCTCTTAGACAAAAAGTTTTTCTGGATTCCCAGCTGCGGTCTTCGATAACTGTTTGCATAAAGGTTTTAAGGCGGCGTGAAATAAACGTAAATAAGTGCAAACTTTGGGAAAAGTCCCCGATGTGCTCGCTCACCAGATGGCGATACGGTCCTTGGGATAATCCAGCCTGTCAATGCAGCCCAGGTAGCGTGGGAGGCTGTGCGCGGCGTTACGAGCCAGGATGGCGATCATCACTTTCGGCTGCATAAGGGACGATTCGGGCCGAACCGGTTCCTGACTCGCCAGTTCTGGGGAGCAGCGGGACGCGAGGGCGGCCAGCAACAGGCTCACGGCCACGACTCCAAGCGTCGGCATGATTTCTTTGCAGCACAACACCGTTACTCCGAAGTGCGCCCTGCCGAGGCTGAATATGAGGGCGAGGGTGGGAGGGATCGCGGCGGGCCGGGAGGGGGCCGGGCAGGCAGGGAGGGAGGGAGGGAGGGGGCCGGGCGGGTCGGACCCGCTGCCTCCTTAAGCACCGCTCGCGCCTCCAGATACTGCGCGCGCTTAGGAAGTTTGGCCGCCCCGTAGACAGAAAAAAGGCTGAAAAATAGCTCGACACGTAATAGGTGACACGAGGTTTCCTCATTCAAACTTAATTTTTTTCCCTTGGTGAGTAGAACATATAGTTTTCATTATTACATCTGAACATAAATTTTATAAGCCTACATTATAGCATCTAACACCAAAATCGCGCCGCAAATGAGATGTTATTAAAATGGACAGGTGGGTGGATGGCTTCAATTATTATTATTATTATTATTATTATTATTATTATTATTATTATTATTATTACTACTACTACTACTACTACTACTACCAGCTTATTACTACAGTGATTATAATAAACGTGCAGCAATGTTTGCGGTCTTTCTTCACAGCACCTTCAGGCTGTCTCCGCCTCTAACATTTTCATTTGCCGTTATCCTCTGCATTTCTTTCGCTTTGCGTTATTTTACTTCTACCCTCTCCATAGACTTCATCTTGTCAACAACAATAAATCCCATGAACCCGCGCCTTACATAATCTCACAGCCACCAACACCCTGCTCGCCAGCTCGCTCGTTTCTTCTGCGCAGTTACATAAGAGCTTACTTCCCTAATGTTACCATGTTTTTCCTCTGTGTGGGAACAGACTGTTTTTCAAAAGTGTTAAGTTATTAGTCTGCTAAAAACTATCTATATAATGCCGCTGACAAACAGGCCCCAGTCTTATCGCGCCCTCTAGTGTCGTAAATAATGCAACAGCATATCAATCTACGGCAGAAGTGAATTGGCGCGTTAAATGTGTTAAAATGTATATTATAATAAATCCATATAAATTAATTTTAAATTGCGTTAATTACCAAATTTGGGCATAAATGTTATTTTGCTTTCTAACAAGATTGAACGTGCTCCTTAAACATACATCAGCCCTCAACATCACATGTGTTCAGAAACCGACATACTAATCGCTTTGTTGTTGACTTGGATTTCAGTTCAATACTGTTTAGTGACCCACGCATCCGTGTTTTGATACTTTAAATTGATCACATTTTCACAGGAGCTTCATGAAACTAGGTTGTGCTCACAGATGGAGACCCTTCAATAAGTATGGTGACTGAAGAAAGAAAAATTCAGAGAAATTGTAGATGTTGGTCAACCTGAACTTTAATCTATAGATTCATTGTATGTTTGGTATATTGTATGTTTGGTGTTTATAAATATAGTAATCTGAATTCTTCGACGGGTACGAAGTCTTAAAGGTCAACGATAACAGATCTTTTACTGTGGCTTAGAACATTCTGTAGCAAATTATATACATCTATTGACGTTTAAAGCTGTGGTTAAATTAGGGATTGTCATACCGAGTTTAATTACAGAGTCCTCTAATTTGTGGGTTCCACAACTAATGGCTGCCAATTTTAAATTGGTCTTCTGGGGGCTTCTGGAAACATTTAATTACTTCATATTAATCAGCAATGAATGACTAAACTATACAATTAGGGAAAATCAGCCTTACTTGCACAGTGTCCTCAGAATACACGGGTGTTTTGTAAAATTGCAGTGAATTACTGCTTAAAATGTCAGTCATACAACCGCTAAACATCTTATCTTGAAAATGGCACGATAATTCAAATTTAACTTCATACGTAATTCCCGTACTGGCAGACGGCTAAGAACAAATTTTCTTTGTGTTGTATAAGTGAAACATGGAGATTTCTTGTACTTAGAGATTTCTGGTCTGTTCGACATGATCGCTGTTTATGGTATCTTCAGCTTTTTCTCGTACACAAACGACCTTTCGATTCAGCTCTAAGACAGCAGTTATATTTAGATTCAGCATATTACACAATTTTTGCATTTGATATTATGTTTGTCAAAGTGTGTTAGCCTAGCCATTCGACAACCTCTCAGGAAGTCTGCAGTAATTGTCCAGTATAGTCAGTGTTTTGATGGCACCGCCACTTACATTCCGTGTTTTCCTAATCAATACCTCACCAAGTTGTTTAGCGAATTAAGTCAATTAATTACGCAAGCTGGTGGTGAATTTTAATGAATACATGGAAAGGCTGTGGTGCCCCTGAGGAGAGGTTTGGGACCTGAAACGGTGTCCATCTGGCCTTCCAGCATGATATCTGTACCTGTTCTGTGTTGTATGTTACTGTTTACTACTGTTCTGTTCTATAGTTTTTTTCATTTCTGAGCAAGCAGGCACTCTTACTGCCTAAGTCTACTGTGGTACTGTGTGCATATATGTACGTACGTACGTATATATGTATGGATGTATGTCTTATGCATCTGTGTGGGGGCCCATAGAGGGGGAGGATGATTCCAGGGAACCCTGAGTGACAGGGGCCTGAAAAATTTGGAGCATAATTGGTCTGGGTTGGGGCTTCAAAATCTTTAGCGGTTCCCTTGCATCCATGTGTGTGTGTTTGTGTGTTTTTCTAATTGCTATTACATGTATAGTTACTTGAATATATTGATCACACTTTTCCTGTTTCTTTTCCTGGATAATCTTCCCTAACCACTTATCCAGTGCGGAGAAGCAGCGTGCATGAGGCAGGACACAGTCTGGACAGGATGCCAGTCCCTCATGAGGGACACATTGCACACACCATCACAACATTCATCCAGTTGCATGTCTTTGGCCTGCCGAAAGAAACCTTAATATCTGGTGGAACATGCCAACTAAACTGAACCTACAGCCTGGAACCACGAGGCCACTGTGTGACCCAGAGCCACCTCCTTGGTGACATTCAACTATTATTCCAAATAAATAGGAGGTTTAACTCCATCCATCCATCCATCTTCCAACTGCTTATCTGGTCCAGGGTCACCAGAAACTTAAGTAAAGACAATGATTATTGGAGTTGCTTATTTCTGGCTAATGAAAGGTTGCATGTTCAAACCACTGGTGTCTCTTTCACCTGCCAGTTTATTTGGCCCTTAGCCTGGCGAGGTGGAGGCCTGCTCTGTTTATGATGTCCAGAGATAACATCATCTCTGGGTAGCAGATGTCCTCCGCCGCCTCCCGCTGGCTGCACCGTGAAGTACAGCTGTATAACCTTCGCTGATGTCGCCCGACCTTGCGAGCCGCTGGCCTTCTTTCCAAAAGCGCTGCTTGTTTTACATTGTGGGTTTGAGAACTTCTGATACCAGCAGAAACACTCGCAGGTCTCTCCTCCAGCTACTTGTTGGACTGAATGTCAAGGTCAAGAGGAGTGGTGGAAATTTCATGTACAGAAAGTAAAAATCCAGACCATGAACTTTTCAACTCTGGTCAAGATCATGGTATGACATGCAAGGTTGCCAAAGTTGCAGCATCTCTCCCAGAACGAACCCTACAGTCCATCCAGATGCTTCTCTAGATTAGGTCACCTGACAGACCCAGTTTTAAAAGGACAAGAATGTGAACCATATCTGTTTACAGCCCTGGCTACTGTATGATAGAACAGGCTTTCCTGAGGCCAAAGGCCTGAGCAATCGCACCCGCTCTTACCACTGGACGCTGAACTCATCTCTGCTCTGAATTTCAGCTCCAAACTCTTGACTGCACCCTGGTCATGATCCAGAGGCTGCTGTCTGCAAACTTTCAACTTATATCGAAATGCATATCCTTAGCTTCTGTTGCAGGATACATCACACTAACTTGATATCCACTTGTCAGCTCGAGTTCTGTATGTACAGTGGTGTACAGTAGTCCCTACGTATCCGTGGTTTCAGTTAGAGGACGGTTCGCTATTATCCACGGTAAGTCTTCTATTGAATGTATTAAATTGTCATGCTGTGTTTAAAGGAACTAGTTGCATTCCTGCATTACAAAGTTACACTTGCTGTATGACACACATGTAGCCAGGCTACACAGACCACATCCCACTTGGATTTTATATCGTAGCACTGCTGGTCTTCGCCAACTGCCTGTGCTTATTTGCATGGGCCGGAAAGACTCTTCGGAGAAAAGCTTTTGCCAACAGCAAACATGTGTAAACGCTGATGTGATAAACATGGCGGGACGACGCAGCCCAGCTCATGTCGCGAACGGATAGTGAAAACGTGCGGCGGCTACGGTTTCGACACACGGCATGAGCAAATTTTCTCCATATACATAATGTGTTTACCCAGGGAGCAGTGCTTCAATTAAAGACAGATGTATTGTGTTTTTAAATTAGAGTGTTTAACATCGCCACACAGTTCAAGCGAACGCAAAGGCCTTTTTGTCAGACAATCGACAGACAAGACAGGAACATTCTAGGGTGGGTAGCTGTTTGCATTGTGATAGCTCTGTGGTGGCAATTTACGTCATTGACTTAGCAGGCACCTTTATCCAAAGTGATGAGAAAACAGGATCATCCAGTCGCTGCAGCAGATGGGGGTTAAGGATCTTGCTCAAGGGCTCAACGGCAAAATCATTCTGCTGACCGCAGGATTTGAACTGGCGACCTTCCGATCACTTCCTGCAGAGTCATACACTGCTCCCATGGAACAGGAGGCCACGGCAGTGATTAAGACAGACAAGGTCAACTATGGAGACGTGGAAATCTGAGAAGATGGGAGACCTACTCTCAGGCGGCAGGCGAACAAGGAACCGGCAGGGATGGGTGTAGGTGACGGAGCAGAGCTGAAGGACGAGGATGAGAGACCTGTCTGATAAACAGGTGAACGAGACACTGAGCAGGACTAGTTCGGGCAGAGCGGAGTCCAGCAAGGGACGCTTCCCTGGAGGGCAGAGGGGACACTGTCAACGATGGCCTAACATATTCATTATCCCAAGTGAGACTTAGAATTAAAGGGAGCAGACAAGCGACTGACTAGTGCACCTGTAAACAGAGA